ATGAGGCTGTGGAAACTCCAGGAAGTTACTGCAGAAGTAAAACTTGTCATTTTCACATTTCTGTTCGAGTATACGGATTACCCAACGTTTGCCAAGTGTTCTTAACTGTTACCATTAATGAAATAACTATGAGCAAGGCTGTGAGCTGTTTCCCTTCCTTAAGAAAAGCTTGTAAGAACCCTTAATACTCACCAGTTTAATTTTTCAAATAAGACATGACGAAATAACCAGCATAAAGTAGCGGTCAGAGATTCAGATCTTTAGACCCTTTAACATCCCCCCATATTCCATGAAATTCCCTGAAATCTGACCAGATGAAGATCTACCAACTGAAGCTTTGGTACTAAATAAAGTGTGTGAGCGCCAGTGAGCGTCACTTCCAGTTCCTTCTCCATATATATTCTGAAAGAATTGCTAATTAAGATTGTACACTTTTGTTTAGATTGGAAAATTAAGATTTAGCTAACAGCGGCGAGATCAAAGCATGGAGTTGGATCTTTATGTGAGGGCAGATGGCCCGCAGGAGTCGCTCACCGTCTCACCTACTTAATTACTGCTAATCTCGCATGTCAGGATTCACTTACTGTCAAGGCAACTCTGCATACGGTTGTCCATACAATTTCTTCCATTTTCATTTTGCCAACCGGTCTGCACTAAAAAGTCTACTAAAAAAAGTACTAAAACAGTGCAATCACCAGAAAATGACAACTTTAATGTTCATTTTTTTAAAGCTTAAATGCCCCAAAAAAATGACACATCCCAGCCTTTGAGGAATGTGAATAATTGCTTTCTCTGTTTTGTATCATTGTAGATTGAATATCTGTACATTTTGGATAAGCGAAGCACTTCGAAGAAGACACCTTGAGTTCCAGGAAACTGTGGTGAGCATTGTTTGCTGACATTTGAAACCATCTTACAGTCAACAAATATAATTAGTGTAAAATGTCAAGATTGCCAAAGGCAGACATTAACTGGCTACGGGAAACATACCATCTGCGGATAGATTAACAGCAACAAGAAGCGAGGAATATAGAATGAGAAAAATATCTTCAGTCACTGGACGTTGGCAGCAGTCGCTGGTATGCATCATAACACATCTTTCTTGGAAGGCACTTTCTCGCAGATGTCCTCCTCTCTTGTTTGTCTGACCCCGAGTCAAAACAAACACTGAAAACGGTGTGTGTGCGCGCAAGGTCACAAACACAAACATCCCGTTCTCAGCGAATAAATCAAAACTAGTTCTCATTGGCAGGAAAATACACCGCAGAAACCTGACCGCACAAAAGTGCTGTCACAGGCAGTTTATGAACAGCATGTCCTCACATTGGTTGCTGGCCGTGAAGTGAATCCCGTCGTCTTCTGGCTCACGATATTAGACAAAAATATAACCACTTTTACCTGAATTGAGCTGTTTGAGGTTTTAGTGAATATAAACACCTACTGTACAGACACACAAACCATAAAACGGTCTCCCCCTCTATTGTCGGACTCGCTGTCGATTCGCTGTGTTGAAATAGATTCGTGCCTTTGATGTATCATTGTTGTCAGTGCTAACCAAATCACTGCTATGCATGAAAGGAACCCCCTCAGGTCTCTGAAAGAGACAGCAGACTATTTCCTTGTCTACCTTTTCTCAGAGCCAGATACCCACAGAGGTGTTAAGAGTGAAAAGAGGAAAACATGGCTGCATGTTTAACTGGGCTTTTGTGTTGCTTAGTCCCACTTTCACTTCCGTTTCTGAACAAAAGGAATTTCATTCTTGTCACTTTCTTATGGTTACTCCGCTTCTTACCGCTCAGAGCCCCTTTGTTACTTCAAGGGCGGGTTTGAAATGTATCTTACAGAATTGAAAGTGTGTGCCCATTTTCCTCTGAGTGGATTATTGTACCTTCTTCTGTTCGTGTTTTCACACACAACAATAAGACTGACAAATGGAGATACCTCAAAGGCCTCCTCAAAATGACATGACCGATTTTCCACCTCATTTCACCACAACAAACCTGCTGCGATACCGCGGCATTGTCACTGTCCGCTGTTGTGCAGCCGTGGCAGAGTCAGTTCTCTGATCCCAGGAGGCATTTTGCTTTTATTGTCGCTCCTTTAACCCTGTTTCCGCTCTGCGTTTTTCGTCTCCGTCTCTGTGAGCCCACCTCGGGGCAGAAGTGATAGTTGCCAGGGGGTGTATTGAATTGTATGGTAATCTCGTTGCGAAAAGGGCCCACACTGCAGTTATGTTTCTAATGAGACATGGAGGAAGAAGGCCGACCTCTCCGACCAGTGGGTTGCAGACATTCATCATCCCAAACACACGCCGGTTTAAAGTGTGAGGGTGAGAGAGAGAGAACTGCCCTCTATTGGGAGCAACATTGCACTGCAGGCGAGCCAGAGGGGGGTGGAGAGGAGATGAAAAAGAGCAAAGACAAGAAAAGACAATAATAAAGACAACAGAAAAAAAGACAGATTAAATAGGGAGTCAAGGGGAGTTGTATTGTAGTATGCAGCTCTAAAGATCTGATTGTTTTGCAGCTTCACTGTATAGCAATTGATTTGGCTGTAATAGTACACCATAAGCGTAAACCACATAATCACTACAGTCACTACTCCTGAGCCCAGCATATTGTCAGGCAGCAGAGAATATCCCACTATGGCTCCATAGTACTCTGAATTTCTTTCTCAGAAAGAAATTGAAAAGGAAAAGAGTGAAGGATGGTGACAAGTGACTGATACTCAAGGTCCACAGCAATCAACCTAAAAGTAAAATACAGTGTAACATTGTAAGTAACATATAGGACTACAATCTAGGATCTAGAGTATGGGTTGTGTGGAGATGTTTGCTCTCAGCAGTTCCTCCGTTTTGCTTCTGATGTTTTTCTTGTTTATGTCATGGCAACTAATTTTGCAGGAATATTTGGCAATGCTTTTGATTTTGACTATTTGATAACTCCCTTTACATGGTTTAGATTTGAGTATTTCTGGAGTACAAAACAATGTCAATATAGAACTGTTTATAATTCTAAACTTATTCATACATAAAGGCGATTGTTGGCGGGCAGTGGGATAGAGAGGGAGGGTAATGAGAGTGTGGGAGAAATTATCCATATACATCACAAATATACATAGTCATTGATCTCTTGCAACGTTGGCCAATAAACATAAAGGGATAAGGCTGGCATTATCTTATATTTGTATTACAATCAACACATTCCATTGAGTGTGTGCCCCGGTGAATTCGGGGTTAAGACATGGACCATGAACCGCAATCCAACTGGGGAACCATTAAAGATTCTGCCTGTTGCTCAGCCCCATGCCCACTTGTTCCCACTGAAGATGTAAATCGTTAAAAACAGGTCACAAATATATAGTTTATTTTGACTAATATGGCTTAGTAATATCCTTAAATACCTGGGCACTCTAGTTTTTAAGCATTGTTCAAACAGGAGAAAATAATATTGCATTTGTTGGGGACTATTTTCAGCTGCGGACTAATACGCATTTGGTGCTCAACTGAGTATTTGAGGCAGCAGGACGGTGTATGTGACATCTGAAAATCAACTGCAGTGCGCATGTTTATCAGAATGAATGAACATGTTGCACTGTATGGGGTGGTGTTGTTGTTTTTTGACAAAGAACCACCACCAACTGTGATGTACCCCAGTATACCTGTATTGTTGTTCTGTGGTCAAACAGCAATTATATCTCAACAGCACTCACCGTGTGGCCAGATTCATACCGATATTTATCTCTGATCGCCCCGTGCCCAAGCTTCTCAGTGGCATTTGGAAACATATTTTGTATAATTCACAACATTACCCACTAAAACAGACAAGCTTTTTTCTTTTTTTTTGCCTGACCCAGAATTGCTATAAAAGCTGTTTTCATCCACACTGATTTTCAGCTTCCCAAACACTTTTTCTCATACTTTTCTACCAGAGTGGGTCCTTAAATCTGCACTTTGAAGTGAGGCTAGCGTCTGAAGTGCGAACACATAAGGGGGAGTTTTAAATAGAGGCTTGGCCAAAATATGTTCAAGGAAAACCTTGGATCTCACCCCCGACACCCCCCTTCCTCACGCTCAGTTTGGACTCTCTCCAGGCTTGTTTTAATTGTGTGACAACCAAACAACAAACATTCTGCTCAGGACAGAAATAAAAAAAGTCTACAGTATACATTAAACATAACTTTATACTAAAGCCCAAAACACATACCCATAATCCCTCTTGAATTTACATTTTTTTTCCAAACTTCTGTTTTTACTACCATCTAAAGAAGTAGTGTTACACAACATGAATGTTTACCTATGTGAGTCACTTCCAGATCACCATTTGCAAATTGTATTTTCGAAGACAGCATGCATATCTGTGCGCGGATATTGGAAAAGGTGTTGCATCGGGTTTTGACTGTGACAAAGAACACCCAAGGGAGAGGCACCAGCTCAATCAAACCTAGAGCTCAGCAAATCAAACAAGTTTAGAGGATTTTTTATTTGGCATTCATTGTTTTTTCTGCTTTGTTTGCATCTCCATCAGCTGCAAGAAAATGATTTGCTTGGTCCTGACAATCTCTGCAAAACAAGCTCCATATTGCAAGAGGAAGAAATAAATTGCTTTTTCTTTTCTTTTTTCTTTTTTTTGCCACATCATGGTTCTGTGTGGATGTGAGAATGAATCTCAATAGCGATTAGTTTCATATCAGACTGTGAGATGAGGGACACGATGCTTAAAAAGTAGCATATCCCTCTGCAACATCTTCATGTAATACAGCAGAACCACCCTCTACATGAAAGGCTTACAATATTTGTGTTGGATGTTTTCTTCAACCTGATTAAAAGGTACAGCTGATTTGTCAGCTGCTGTTTCTTCAGTCCTTTTCCTTAATGGATGTTGAAGACCATTTCCCTTCCGTTAACCTCAATCTTTCTCTCACCGTCTTCAACACGCTTATTTCCTGTTTCTACATTATTTTTTCATCATCCTCTTTCTCTCCCTATCTTCCCCTTGCAGAGTCGAGGCACCAGGCTACCAGCGAGTGCTGCAGGTGGACCTGGAGGTGAACGGGCTGATGATGACTCAGGGCGGGAGGGAGGTGACGTGGCAGGTGGAGTATCCGCTCACCCGTACTCTGACCAGTGAGGTGCCGACTCTCATCCGTCTGGCACCGCAGGACCTGGGTGGCATTGTGCCACTAGCCATGGTGAGCAGTGGGTGGTTGAGCCGTGGAAGTGTGTATGCAGACATTTGTGCGTATATGTGTTGAAATCATTCATTGTGGAACAGTAAAGTCTGCATTGATGCAGGTTAAGGCAGGATTACACCATGACCAGGGAGAACACTTGATTTTGATCGGCTAGGAGGCGTGTGTTATTTTCAAAATGTCAAGCAGGTCGTACATCATCCTTCAAAATCATAATGCAGATGCAATATGAATATTGCACTAATGGTCCATCTGTTAAAATTCTAACAACATGCATTTTAACATGCACAACACAACTTCTACCTTTTTGGGGTCTACCAGAGACCAATCCAAAATGGACAAATGGAAAACCTACTTGAACAAAACAAAAAAGTATTTATTTTGTTAAAAAAAGGAGACATGATCCAAAGAGGACCTGAGGAAAGTCAGATAGAAGAGAAAATAATTAGACCGTAGTTGTCACATGTCATTTTCCCCACACTTCAGTTCACACTCTCCACCTCGCCCCATAATCGCATTTTTCCCCTGATAACTCAGGGGAAAAATGACTCACCCGCGCACACCACTTAGGTGTTACACATCACACAGATCTGTGACCTGCACAGTGGTGGAGGAAGTATTCAGATTGTTTGCTTCAGAAAAGTATTAATACGACACTGTAAAAATACTCCTGGTACAAGAAATAATTATGCTTTGAAAATGTTATTAACTAAAAGTATGTGCATTATCAGGTAAATCTCTTTTCAGTTATGTGGCTACTAAAAAATCTAATATTCTAATCTAACTAATCTAATCTGACTAGAATTCGAGAGGACCTGTAGAGATCTATAAAAGAAAAAGTACTGCAGCCAGAAAGTATTTGGTGCCCTTCATTCATTTGACTCCCTTCAAGGACATTGGTTACGAAATGTAATAACGACTATTAGATTTAAGTGCTGGGTTCCATGTTACAGAGCTTTAGAAGGTGTCCACGCCATTATTGTGTTGTAGCCCCTTTAAAATCATCCTAAGCATACAGACAAGGCAGCCAAGGATCATTTTATGACCAAACACTGGAATGATTTTGAGTGTCTTGAGTGAGTCAGCTGTCCTAAATCCAACTGAGCATGTTTTTCACGAGACGAGACTGCATGAGGTCAAAAAGCAAAAAAAAAAACATCTTGAGAGAATATACCAATGTCTTCCGACATCTAGCACTTATACACTCCAGAGCTAATTTAATGCATTTTTTTTTTTTACGGCTACTTTCACTTGGAGAGCAAATACTGTGACATTTATCCAAGGAGGAACAGAGATTGTGAACAAACACATTGGGTCTCATGAAAGAACCACAGATTTCCTCTGAAGGGGTTTGCGCGAGTGATTTAGGAGAACTGGCCGCATGCAGTCATTCTCTTGTATTTTTAATTTGTTCTTACTAAAAACACAATTCACGAGTGGTCCAGAGCAGTCGTAGGGGTCAGGTGCAATTGGTCTTTTGTTTTCAAAGCTTAAGTTTATCACTATTTATATATGAGAAATGACACTCCATAATAATGTTGACATTATCCTGTTTTACTACGTAATTTGCCTTATAAGCAAATTTAATTCTAAATGTTTTCATATAGCCTAACAATATCACCATTCATTTTAATTGGCTATTGTTGTGATTGTATAACACTACAATATGAATATCAACCACTCAAATTGCAAAATGACTGAAATGATTTGACCCCCTACCGTTGCAGCCATCGAACGTTTTTCATATGGAACCATTTCTTCTTTATTTCAGTGACAGTATGACCCTCAGGTAACACGGCATTAAAAGCAGGCCTTAACTTTCCCCGTTCTTTGGCTTACGCATTCTGCTGCCGACACTGTTAAGACTTTTCTCTATGGGGCTCCAATAAAAGCAGGACATATCGAGCAGGACGCATAGCCCTATATGCTATCACTGGGTTGTTAATTGTGCTAATTTACAATTATCATGAACTTAGAAGCTGCTAAGTCATTGTTTTTACAGAGGCACACGACACGCGAATTGTCCCTTATTGTGAGCCTTTGATGTCTGCATTGCACAGTAAGAAGGGTTTAGACTCTGTATTGATAGTGTCAGAAGAAAATTTGTCAAAAATACCATTATCCAAATTGGTCCCTTAAAAAGCCAGGGCCAAGTGTTTTCACACACAGCTTGCTCTTTTTAATTGTCAGTAATCTGGCTAATACAGCGCTAAGAGTTTGCTGACTGAGAAGTTAATTGAGTTTGGATTTAGACAGTCCAAACATGGTTGAATTGGCAAGTGGCTTAAGATTGCTAATTGTATTATGATAATGACAATGTAAATTATTTTTCTAAAATGAAAGGAAAACCATTCAGTATGCTGCAGAGATAAAAAATTGTTTTAATTTCCTTCGCTGATAATGACCACGTAAAAATCAAATGCCCTTGAGCACTTCATAAACTTTTATTATGACAATTTGATGAGGATGACGTTCACCGCTGATTGATGGCTTCTGGCCAGCAGAGTAGCCTTTGGACTTTTCTAACTTTTCTACTTTTAATGCCTTTTTCAAAGTAAGCAGTTTTCTATGTCAATGTTGGAATGACAGTTTTTTTTTAATTGAATATATAGACAGACAAAGTGTTCAGTGAATCAGAAATGCAACATGCGAATTTCGAATAAAGTTAGTGGCGACAGAGTGCAGGAATTCCACAAGGACAACCTGATTTTATGAATAGAAATTTACAAAACAAAAACTATATATTAATAATGATAATCACCGTTACATATACTTAAAATGATAGTTACAGTGGAGCAATATCCAGGCACAATGATATTAGCATAACATAAATTACCATAACAACAATACAGTCTAAAAAAATAGATAAAATCATCTTGGTGGTTAAAAGACACCAAACGTTCAATTATCTTTAGTCTTTTTATGATATGAATATTGATTTGAACATATAGTCAACAACTTTATTGCTGAAGTTTGTGGCCTTGTCGAGTAAGGGTCTTACATAGAAATTTTAAAGGCTTACTCGCTGGCCAGCATATTTGGTTTATTGATAACTTAATAGAACATACACTAGCTAAATGTGTATCTGGAGTATCGAGAGCAGGAACAAGGAACACGGCTTAGCTGCAAACAAAGCTCCAAACAAAACTGAAGTTCATCCAATTAAGACTTCTCTTTTAACTAAGTAATTCTGTAATTGAGAAATGTTGATCAATCATGATTGATGACTTCAGTAAATGAAGAAAAAAAATGTTTGTTTCCAGATCATATTTGTTGATGACGCTATCACTGCAGCGCACCTCAACAGGGTAAAACTACTTTACACAACAACACAGATTGAAGCTTTAAATCGACATAAACCAGAGCAAAGCCTAATATCTTCAAGACCAAAACGTTGCTGTGAGCTGAGAAGTCCATAAACACCTTCTGAAAACACATTTGCACAAACTGCTTGGTGTAGGATATGATTTGTTGGTGGCATTTTAATCTTAGGATGCTAACTGTGCTACATTCCTCTATAGCCGTATTCATTTTGCCCGTTTACACAATTTTTGTTTTCATCATTCATCGAGTACCTCTGAATAGCACACATGTTGAGTCAGGGTCAACAAATAGTTTGATTAAACTGGGTGTTAGTGGTTGACATCAATCTCCACCTCTGCGGCAGAACTCGTAGGTAGACACCAATCATTGCTGGCACTCAACAGTGCTCGTTTGTGTTTAGAATGCCAGACACCTCTGTTCAATAAAACTCTCATTTCTCTGTGATGGCTTCTGGCCTTCACTCCCACAGAGAAGCACAGGCAATGCACACACTCTTACAGTATCTGTCTGCCAAAAAGTGAAATGTAGGACTCGCTGCTGTCTTGACTTGACAGCTGCTGTAAACTGTCCTTCAGGATGACTGACTGAAATTGTGACGAGTATGCTAATAGCTGCAAACCGCGAAAGTTAGGAGGTAGAAAGAGAGGAGAGGAGAGATGGAAGGAAGAGTTTAAGGAAGAAAAAAAGTGGTTTGGCCAGTCTAGGGAATAACCTGCTGAATAATTTGCTACCTGAGGGTTACTTCTTAAACCGCAGGCTCCTAGTGACTGGGATCACTGCATACAGTACGAGCAAAAAAAGATCAGCACTGGATATTCATCCTGCAGCCATGGACAGAGCCCGTCAATTCAGAGCAAGTGCTTTTCCAGGCTAATTAAGTCCAATCGATGAGGCCAGACTGGATATTTTAGAATGCTAGTTGAATGCTGAATATGTCGCACGAAAAATTGACATCCTGACAAGGAATTTAACATTCTGAAAATGAAAAGAACAATCGGGGGGCATTGTAACGAGACGATCAAACTTGTTTCGGGAAGATTTAATGTGTCATTATCTTCAAACAGAACAGAGTAAGAGAGATTGCGGCGCTTATAACAGAAATTACAGTTTATATTGGAACGTTCTTCAGTCGATTTTCATTCGAAATTGAACGCATTTTGAAGATTCAATAACAGATTCCATGGTTTGTTCAGGTGAATAGTTTTTGTACTGTAGTGTATCTTTTATAGACTCCTGTTACCTGCGGTGGTTCTCTGGTTGAGATTATAGCATACCCTTTGACATTCCTCAAATCAATAGATTTAATAGCCCTAAACAAAACTCTCAAATGATCAAAAGTGTAAACTGAGGAAGAAGCTAAGAGAAAGTTCTTACAGAGATACTTCCCCCGCTTTACTTTTCCCCCCCAGACACCTTGTACATTACTGAGATATTTTGAACTCACTCAACTCCAGTTGTGAATGCTCGCAGAGGCAAATGCCTGTATATATTTTTCACTTGACTAATACGATATTCTACCGAATAAGCAACCTGGAACCAACTGGGCAGACTGAGGGGAGAGAAAGTGAAAGTGTTTCATTAACAAGCTTGAAAGACAGCACATGTAGAGAACATGCCAACCGAGAGACTTTTACTGCATCCTCCCATGAATTTTTGATCTCCCTCTCTTGCCATGC